TTATACAAATTAGGCCAAAAACTAGTAATAATAATATATAGTATTATTTTACTTTGCAAAAAGATATAACCTTTGCAATATTTTTTGCTGCAACTGTGATGGTGGATGTGATTCAAGATGTGAGCAAACTACATGTAATGCCAAGGAATGGTCAAAATGTCTTGTAGCTGCCGTAACTTGTGGAATTTCTTGCGTTACAAATGGAGCAGCATGTGCAACTTGTCTTGCATCTGTAGGTGCTTCGTTTTGTAAAGAATGTTATTTTCAACTTTATGATTAGCTATAGTCTATAACTCAATATTATATATTTTCGAATTTATCAATATTTTGTTGCTTATTATGTTTTAATTGTTCTAGAAAAGTGTAACAATGCACATTTGTCCTAATGGTTGACTTATAGCAATAGTAATTGATAAATTGATGTTATAATATAGAGATTTATTTTATGGCGCTATAGCACTACAGTGCTATAGTACTATTAATAAAATTTTTATATTTATTTGTATTTAGTATTTATATATACATAATATACAGTAAATAATATATACTGTATTTATACTATATTATAGTATAAATACCAAAACGCCTCAATCACGTGACACTGCACAAAAATTAATCTTTCCCAAAAAAGTACGTGCACGTGACCGTATTTTTAGCACACTAAAAAATCTTTAAATTCGTTTAAGGTAGGGTTAGGGTCTATTCTATGGTTAGGGTTATAGGAGTTTTAGTAGTAAAATTGCCCAAGGAAAACTTTTTGTTAATGCACCAAAGGTGGTTTCATATGTAAATTTTTGACTTAACGAAGCGAACGTTTGTTTTGAAATTTCCTGATCGTGTTACGTTACACCTGATATTGATATCTGATTGGTTTACACTACAAAAAATCTCGTGCCCGTACTTTTTTGGTGGCGATACTGGAACTCATACAGGGAGATCCCCAAAATTCCTGGTCGGAATGCATCGGAACATTGGCCGGATAGTTCGGAATCGATCGATTTTGCCCAAGATCACTAAGAATTTTACTAATGAAACCATAGTCATTCATTAAGTAAAAAATGTCCAGCTGGTAATTTTACTTTATCCGACAAACTCATATGATCATGAAAAAATTTTTTTTTGTTATTTTTTTGTGTTACGATAAAATTATGTTATTCCAATATTCAAAAAATAAAACTCAGCGAGCAACTCTACCAATCATGATCATTATTGGGCAAATTGTCGAATACGGTAATTTGGCAAATGATTGGCTACAGTGCCGCAAAGCGGCACGTGCCCATT